AACTACTTTGAAAAGTGAGGAATTACTTTTTTATAAATTCATAAATAAGTTCTTACACATTAAATAGTGTTTGTTTCACTTTTCTCTTGATGTTTGATCGTATAATTTGCAGAGGAAACGCAATGCATTCTGGGTAAGACGAGAAGTGTGCATCATTGCTTCCTGGCTTTCTCTGCCTTTGGTTTTCCAAGAGGCACTTAAGATGAGAAAGGGGAATCCCTCAGAGGAGAGGAAACACACGTGGAAAACACAGATGATATCAATACATTTATGGAAGGACTTTCCTGGAAAGAAGAAAACTGGAAACTAAAGGAGAACAATTTATAACCTGTTCAGACGATCTTCTTGCTGATAAGATTTGAGGATTGCAGTACTAAACAATACCTGAATTTGTCCCTGTACTGTTGCTATCTACAAATAATGAAATTAGGATGAAGATACTACATCCAGATAACAATGTATATCTCTTGTATGAACACTAGACACATCTGGATTCAGTCTTGTTGTCATTGTCTCGAGGAGACAGAGGTGTCAGGTACATGTTGGAGATGTTTTTCATTGTGTTCACTGTAGTCATCAGATTGCATTCGTCCCTCCGTGTCCTGTCTTCAGGTCAGTTTCCCAGCACCTTTGTGGAAGAGGTTACCATCCCCAGCACCAAGCCTGGAGACAGACTCTTTGTGTGCACCAATGATTTCAGCTCAGCAGAGCCGGGCAACTTGTCCCTGAAGAGAGGTACGGACATCCTGCATGCAGACAATCATGACTTATAGAATAAAGATCATAAAGTATGAACCACTCCTCGTCTTTATGAGTCCGAGTCATAAAATAGAAAGACTTTCATCAGAGCACACATGGGCTTTGTTATCTGTTAATCGTTTTGCACAGGATACTGTATGTAACACAACTTTGTTCAAAATACTATTTCTGTTAACTCTTAACGGGTCATGTTTTCTCACATAGCTTAACGCTACTTGTTGATGTCGCTGTGCTCGGGTAAATTGTTTGTTTTGTGTTGTAGTGTAGTTGTGTTGGACATTGTGACCTTGTCTCCACTGACACAAACTGGGACCCTTAATGTTGCCAGATATTAAAAATCAAACAAAGTTTTTATGTTAATAACTGTACAACAGAATTATTGACTCTAAAAACTTAATTCTTTATACAAATCATGCCCTGATTGAATTGATCATAGTGAATGGAGACAAGACGCTGATTTCCCATGATGGCATCCTCCTAGAAAGGGAATCTCAGTTTAAGAACATGTTTATGCTATTTACATGGTCAAAGTCATTTTAAATATACATAATCAACTCTAACTCAAATTCTCGTTTTTTATTCTGTGAAGTCAGTTTATTTCTTTACTGAAAGGGTTCAGAAATGGAGTAATCTTATTCAGATAAAGAAAGAGATGCCTTTTTAAAAGCAAGATTTGTTTTTCCATCTCTGTTCCTGAGCATTTTACACGTTGTGCTGTTTTTTAACAGTAATTTAGAACCTGAACTCTCGTTAAATCAGTTACAATAAATCTTAAATTGTCAGATTTACAGTTCTGTTACAGCCCTCTATATCTATTTGAGCCTGCTGCTGTTTACATTTTTCATTCAAAAGACCTACAGTCTGGGATGATAGACATTTCTTTGCAAATTCATTGAAAACTTAATAATGTTGTCCTGTTCTCTTGAGCGATACACAAAGAACTCTCTGGTGGTTAAAGATGTACGATATGATAAAACCTTGGTGGATTTCCGATTACAACAGCACCACATAATGACTCAATAAACACTCAACACACAAAGTCTCCTAAACTCCCCACTAGATGTCCCCAAATACCAAACTAAAACCTAGTAGACTGGCTTCTCTTTTTACATTCCTGAATTCTCTCCTATGATTACGTTACTTGTTTCAGGTTTTTTTTTCATTCAACAAAAAGCTCATGCATGCAACGCTGATGTTCGCAAAGTTCCTTTACATCGGTAAAACTTTTCATTGATGTCTTGTCATGTCATTAGAGGTTCTAGTGGTAGTCGTCATAGTTGTAGTTGAACAATATTCCAGTATATTTTTTTATCGTCATAATAACACTTCCTGGATCATAGGAAAAATAGGAAACAGTTTTTACTGGCCATCTGAGAGTTTGAATGTTCATTTCCAGTATGATTTTCCATGGTCTTTATTGGCTGCGTTCCAGTATTGGTCCCAGACACAATGGGAGGTGGAGCCGCAGGTCTTTGGAATGTAACCCCCATGACTTCTGGCTGACCGGTCGACATTTCTATAATGCCTCGTTCCCCAGATATATTAGCAGCAGAGCAAAGTTACTAAGAATGCATTAATAAAGGTAATCTAAGGTAACTAAAGCTACCTGAGTGCAGACAAAATAAAAAAATAAAAAATCTAACATACCCGGCACTTCATTGCAGTTCTTTAATTATATTCACGTTGAGTCAAGTCAGTTCAATCTAGTTCTGTTCAGTCTGGTTTAATTAAGTATTTATCTCCAGCTGTGCGAAAAAATGAAAGCCAGGCGCGTCTGTTGGCGGCTCCACAAGCAGCACCCATAGGCTTGTTCCTTGTATGTATCTTATATGTAATTGAGGGATAATAGAATCAGCGGGATAAAAACAAGAACTGGTGGAACTGAGCAATAATAGAAACTTTTGGTTAAGCGTAACTTTAACTTAAAACATTTTCTTTTAACATGATGTTATGGAATGTGATCCCCTTTGTTCTTTCTCTCTGTAGGTGATGTGGTAGTTGGAGAGGCTGGAGGGTCCACGGACCTCGGAGAAACCTGGCAGCGAGGTTGTAACGCCTGGGGTGTCCGTGGTCTTTTCCCCACATCATGTGTGACGGCGCTGACCCTCTCAGGTCGCTCTAGGCAGCTGTCTGAACGCTCAGCTCAGGCCCAGGCCTCAGAGCTCCCGCCTTACGCCCTGGGCCAGGCCCGGGCCCTCATGAGCCTGCACGCGCAGCTCAATGAGGAGCTGGACTTCCGCGAGGGGGACTTGATCATCATTACCGGCCTACCTGAGCCGGGCTGGTTCCAGGGGGAGCTGGATGGCCGCAGGGGCATCTTCCCGGAGGGGTTTGTGGAGCTCCAGGGATCCCTCCGATCTCCTCAGGAGCCTGCGGACTGCCAGTATTTGACCAATGATACTGAAAAATGTAGCTATGAGGACTCTTACGATGCAGGAGAGGGGACAGAGGAGGAAGGTGTAGAAGAAAGAGAGGTTTTTCAGAGAGATGAAGAGGAGCAGAAGGAGGCAGTAGTAGAAGAAGAAGAAGAAGTGGAGGAGGAGGAGGAAGAAGAGGAGGGTGGTGTCTATGTAGTGGCACTTTATGAGTTTCGGGCCATTGAACCAGGTGAGTTGGACTTTGATATGGGGGATCGCATACGTCTTTTAAGCACTTTGGAGGATGGTTGGCTGGAGGGGGAGCTGCGAGGGCGACGCGGTATTTTTCCTCATCGTTTTGTCAAAATAGAGGACGACGGGCAGAAAACTGCAGAGGAAACAAAAGTTGAACAAGAAGAAGACAAGGAGAACAGCTGTGCTTCTGACTACAGCTCAGGTCACACATGTCCTAATGGGTCAGAGAATGATCCTGAATGGAGGACGTATGAGGATCATACAGTCTGGGACCTGGACTACTTTGAGCGGACCGAGGAGCAGAGGTGGCAAAGTGAAAACAAAAGAACTGGAGCTCAAATTGACAGCAGAGGACAGAGAGATGGGGGTAGCAGGCCTGACTCTCAGCCGCGTAGACCTGTCGCCCCAGCGCAGCAAGGGCCCGAGAGACCCAAATCCACTCCTCCAGCAAGGCCCAGACTCCCATCTCGGCCTAGCCCGCCTGCAGGTAGCCACAGGCACCATGGCCCATCTTCTGGCACAAATCGGTCTAGCTATACAAACGGTAACACTCGATCCTTACAGCCCAAATTAACTCATAGCCTCACCCTCCCTAGCTCTCAGTCTGCAAACAGCAGATACCACCAGAGGCCACGAAAAGATGGTGCCACTACAAGTAACAGGAGTGTCAGTCTTGGCAAGGCGTTATTTAACCTTGCTGAGGGCCATAGGCAGAAGAAGCTAACACGCCATGCTAGTGTCAGTGATGCTGATATGATGATGGGCAGCGCTGAGACACGGCAGCGCTCTCAGCAGACGTTGCGTGGCTCCAATGGTATAATGCCGACATCCATCACTTTAGATGCCCTGGCAACCTCGGCAGGTGACCTGGAGGCCAAGCTATCCCAGCAGCTTTTTGAATTTGAGAAAAGCTTGACTTCTTCATATAGTGATACCAACGTGAGCTCTGGTGCTCCCAGGGACATGTCTTCCGTAGGTGACCTGAGCCAGCAGTCACGTATGTTGCGCCACTTTTCCATAATGGACTTCGGCGATGAAAGCGATATCATGCGAGGCTCCTCCCATTCACCGGTGTCCCAACTGTTGCAGTCGAACTCTGCCTCGTCCTCACTAGAGAGGCGCAGGACCCTTCGTCCTCCCCCTCCTCGTCCTAGAGTCCTTCGACCCTCTGCCCCGCCGGCATACAAACCAGCCCGCCCTGCTCCGCGTGCCCCTCCTCGCTGCCCGAGACAAAATACTGCTCCTCCAACCATCTGCTACACCCCTGACGAACCAGCTCTAAACGTCCTCGACCAAATAACAGAAGGGAGGGCTGAGTTTGGTGACCTTGCGGCCGCCCAGGAACATGAAATCCAGTGTCAGCTGGAAGCCGAGAAAGAGCTCGAGAGAGAGATGGAGTTGGAGAGTCAGAGACGGAGGGAAGAGGAGGAAAGGTACCAGCTGCTGCTTCGGCTACAAGAGGTGGAGCACGACATGGAGGCTTATGCACACACAGCGGAGGAGCTCAGGAACATGTTGGAGGAGGAGGAGGATGAGACAGCCCGCATGCAAGCCATGGAGAATCTGGAGTTCTGCAACTACACGCTGGAGACACTGGCCCTGGAGCAGCAGCAGCTACAAGGTAAGACTGTCGGGCGATTTATTGTTTGGATGTTGCCATTTATGACTTTATTAAACCACTATATCACTCTGAGATTGGGCGTTTTAGAGTAATAAAGTGGATTTAATATCTTTGGCTTTTGAACTGTTGGTCCGACACAACAGGACATCACTTTCTGTAAATGTTGCCATTAACATTGTTATAATTTGTTTTATTTAATGTAGGTTCTAATCATGTTTTAAAGCATCAAACCGTTTTGCAGGTATTGATGTCAACACAAGAATATCCTATAAACGGATCCGGGTGTGTGAAATGTGAAACTGGTTTATGTATCACTTAAAATTTCTCATCAGTGGACTCAAACTACCACATGAAGCAACTGAGATAAAAAACATCATCAGCTTTCAGGCAAGCAGCATCAAAGAAGCCAGACCACGTCCACCAATGTAGATGTTTTCCTTCGGAAGTCAGTGAGCTGCTGTAGCTGGAAGGGTTAGTTGGAAACATTGCGAGAGAGAAGACAAATAAAGTAGAATTTGTTTTGCCTGATGTCATAGTTTACTTCTGAGGCGCTGTTGCCTGCAGGTTACTTCAAAAAGTAATATTCAGTCGCCGAAGACTAACATGTAATATTGCAGGAATCTGGAAATGAGCCATTAGTGCTTACCAGATTTACTTTTTGACTTGTTATGCTGACACACACACACACACACACACACACACTATTTATTTGAATTCCACTGTAAACTATGCAAACGAGACATCCCTTTTTACTGTCCATAATAATCAGCGGAAAGAGGATTGTGTATGTAAATGAAGGGTTATCATAACTCTGTGTGAGTAGTGTGTGTGTGTGTGTGTGTGTGCGTGCATATTTTGCTTTGTCTCACTACACTGCCAATTTAGAAAAGTATATTGAATGTGGCAGAATCAGCGTGTTGCTGCAGGGTTCGGGTGGAGTAACAGGAAATTGTGAATTTGAGGTAAGCTTTGTCAGGTACCGTTCGCGTTTAATTAAGTTTTTAAGAATTGATAGTCAACGGGTTCAACAACAATAGTTGTAGCGCCAAAGCTAATCATCTGAGATTTGTTTTTGCCGTCTCATACTGTCTGTGCGCTCGGTTCTGTCTCTGGCAGCCCAACACTTTTTCACATAGGTACGAGGTGCATTCCTGCACATAGTGAGAGGGGAGGCAAAGCACGTGGGCCTCCGTCTCTTTTTCCACTCTCTCTCTTTCTTTTGGTCCCTCTGCCGCTATCCAAATATCCTCTTTCACCTTCATCGCGGTTTCCTCACTCTGCACCTTTTCCTCCATCATCTGTTCTTCAGAAGGAGTGAGGAGAGGGAATACATCGGGTGTGTATGTTGTGAGTTTTGCAGTAGTGGAGACAGACAGAGAATGGCCCGTTCGAGAGCGCGACCCAGAGTGTGGTTGTGGCGAGCGGTGACATGGCCTGTGGCACATCTCTCCACGCTGTTTGGACTCCATCAGCAGGCCGGGTCCAACAGAGTGGCAGGTAGGCTTGAGCTCGAGCTGGTGTTCATCAGTCAGTGTTGTCAGGGTGGGCCGAGCATTGTGGGTGTTTTTGGAACATCACGTTTTCTCAGAGCCACAGCTAGGAACTGCTTGCTATAGTAGCAGTTCTCACTGGTCAGTTAGTCAGTGCAGTAGTTGGGGGGTTTGGTGCCTTGCTCAAAGGCACTAAAACAGATTTGTAATTGACTTTACCTGTATGGATGCAACGCCTTTTAAGGGAAGCAGGATGGAAATATTAAGTGTTATTAAGAAGCTTTCAGCCTATTTACTGCCAACTACCAGGTTTCTTTTTAATGTTAATGTGTCTCATGTTACACTGTACTCACAGTTTCAGTTATATTGCATTCCCATTGAATTCATGCTAATTGAATGTGTCTTTTTGGGGATCAAAATCTAATCAGTCAGTCACAGTGGAGGCTATTGTTTACCTACTCTAAACATATCTTGCTAAGGTAATCTGATTACTACCAGATGTTTCCAGCTTATTCTAATTCAATACTTTTCCTCTAATCTTGTTAGACATTATAGAAGTAAACCAATAATCAGTAAATGCCTGTGTTTCTTTCTATTTGTGTCGCATTCAAATGACTCATATCCTGTTAGATTGTATCTGTCACTCTCCAATGGTCCTCAATAGATGATCTGTATGGCTGTCAATGACAGGTATCAGCCTGAGGGCAGGAAACTCCCATTGGCAACAGGTCATACCTTCTAGGGTCATGCAACCACATAGTTTCCATTCAGTCATCACACGACAGGAATTCTCACACCCTCCTTTCATGATAATAATATCAAATATTCCATCAGTTTCCCTTTGGCATTTGTAACACTGTTTGATGTGGAAATGGACTAAAGATTGATTTTTGAGAGTTAAGATTCGGCACTTGCAAGGAAAAGCAGCCAAGCACACTCCCATTGCAGAATATTTGATATGGTAATCATCAACACATTACTCGGACACACAAGCTTTTTAGTGGGATTTGTTGGTCGGATGTTGTGTTTCCCTTTGCTTTCCTTTTTTTGTTTCCTTAGCTCAGAGGAAGGTGTGTATGCATCAGACATAGCCTCAGGATCTTTGTTGCATAAAATGTGTTTGTTATCCTACTGCTATGAGTCTACGCGCACACACACACACACCCAGGAGTGAGTGTTTGTCCGTGCTTTTGCAGGGTGTGTTCCTGAGTGTGACATTTGGAAGACAATGGCAGCTTATTGTTGCAAGGCAGGGAGTAACTTCAACGTCAGGGTCTGCCTGCACTTCACCATGCAGAGGCCAGTTCAAAGTCCTCATAGAAGCTGAAAGAGGTGTGATACTAAAGCAAAAGAGAAAGTCAAACATGCTAACAGAGTGTATCTTTTAATTTCATTGTTATTTTCATTTAAGAGAGAATATTCAAGAGTCTGAGGGTTATGATGAGTGGAGTACTATGTATTTCATACCTTGTGTGATTATTTAAACATTAGGCTGCTGTGTGTGTGTGTGTGTGTGTGTGTGTGGCTGTAGGACTGGGGGACACGGCTGAATCAATATCTCATTGTAACAAACAATACTTTTCTTATATCAGTTTTAAAACAGGGTAAACGTATGCAAAATCACAGACGGAACAGTCAATTTGGTGTTTAATTGAATGAGCTGTGTTTTACATTACATCTGACAAAACTCTAAAATAAAACGTCATTAACTAATTTTGTTATATTTGTATCTCAACCACATTTTGAAACACAATGTGATCATTTCATCACAAGGAAATTCAACTGATTAATAGATGAATGATATAATATGAGGACATATCTGTAAATAAGTCTGTGCTTGGTGCTGTTCGCTCTTTTCTCACACATTAGTGCAGGTTGTTCTGTCTCCATCTCTTTGTGTTTCCTCTTTCCTTGTTTAAGCTCTTTGACCTTCAGCCTCCTTTAATTCTTTAAACCCACTATTAGAACGCCACCATCAGCCTCCATGATACCACAGCCTGATCTATTTAACACTGTTTTGAGGCTCTGTTGCGGCTTCAGGTTTCCCCTCATTCAGCCGTACAAACATGGAGACTTCTAGGCTGCAGACAGCCTGATATATGACCTTTTTCCTGGACATCACACCACTTTTTCTAGATGTGCCGAACGTCGATCAAGCCCTTCACAGCCACGAAGAGGAATGTTGTATTTGACATTCCAACAGTTGACACACGTACACAAACAGAGTTTCAGTCGTGTTCAGCTACTGAAAGCTGAGATGTTGAACACTGATAATTAAACAGCATTACGTAAGAAAAGTAAAATGTCTAAGTAAGGTTTCTATGCTCAGCCTTACTTTGTGAAACTGTGCACTGCAAATGGTTTTTTGCAAATTTCACTTGAATTAAAGAAAGAATTACTTGCAGGTTTTCACTAGTTTTCTAGTAAACAAGACACATAAGGGTGCAAGATACAATCATTCAGTGAGAATGTATTATGTAGTGTATACAGAGAATATAAAGGCCCGTTGTGTCGTTGCTTGAGTCATAATTATTGTTTTGTCTCTTCCCTGTTTCTTGCTGTTGGTATAAGATTGTCTTCAAGTTTAATTTCCCTGTTTCTGATTTCCTTATTCTTTTTCCTGGTTTTTAAGAAGGTTTATCTCAACTCAGCTAACCAGACACCAGTTTAATCAAACCAGGAATGTAATTTTACTTTTTATTCACTTATTTATTTATTTACTTTTTTTTCCTCCAGTTTTAGTTTTAGATTGTTTGAATTGATGGTAAACTGAGACTATCCGACATGTATGTATCTGTGTGTATCACGTGCACTCGAGTGTATGCAAGGCCTTTAAACCTGTCCCTTTAGTGCCTCCCTTTTTCATGGAGAGCTAAGGAGGGGGAGGGATATATTATACTCCGGCTTTATTAAGAGTTTTTTTCTCACACCAAAAGATCGTGTCTCTCCTGAGAGTGAGGACAGTCCCCAACAAAAGCTCATTGTACACACCAGCAGCTATTTTTTCAGAAGCTGCTCTGGACTAATCGGACTCTGTTCTCTCAAAAATCGTTCCCTCTCCACAGTCATCTAAACATAGTAGATATACTTCATGCAGATCTTTCACTTCACTTGTTTTCTACGTCACACTCTCCTTTCGATCAATACTCCAAAAGAAAACTTGTTTTAAACTAAATCATGTTGATGTCTTCATGTACATTGGCTCCTTCCTGAAATGTAGGGCAAAGTTAAACGGACAGATTGAGCTGTTTCAGTTCACCCACAAATATCATGGTATTTTAGACCGGTGTTGGAAGTTAGAATATGTAAGTTGGAGCTGGTTGTAAGCACAGAAAGGAATGAGTAGCTTTTGTCACCACAGGCTGCATTAATGACCTGGTGAACATAGCAGTGAAACCAGCAGGAAATAGCAAACACAAAGAAAACAGGATAGAAGGAAGGATGGAGGATTGTTCATGGTAGAGGAAAAAAAAACATTTGGTGCCAAAGCCTGTAGCCCCTTAAAGGCATACTGTGAAGTTGGTCTGCATCTTCCATCAAAGAAAATCTACAGGCAGATTGTTTTCCTGCAGATAGAGGTATGAGCCAATTGAAACAATGGGAGGGGCTGTTGGGCTAATCCTCCACTCATGTGACTCTACTGAATCATTAACCCAAGGAGGCTCCTCCTTCAATAACCTTCCCCCCCTCTCCTTCCACGATTCGCTGAGATAGCTGCGGGGAGGGTACGTTTTGATTACTCTGAGGGTTGGGAGGTGCTTGGGCCAGGCAGTCCTGCTGAGGCATTGGAGAGGAGACAGAGAAAACAAGTGGGAGAGTTACAGACAATATGCCTGACAGGTGGAGTCTCCCACAGCGCTTTGTTATGGAATGCAGGACTTTGGAAAGAAAGACGACGCCACGTTGAACAGGAAACTGTCTCAGCACCGGGTAGGCTGATTTAAACAGCAAGAGCCATGAAGAGCCCGGTGGTTTATGGCAACCCAGTCATGTTTGGTCCAGTGGATTGGAACTATGCAGTTGGTGCCCCGGTAAGGAGAGGTAAGAGTGTGGACGAGCTGGGCGATGCAGGCTGGGCCAGAGAGACAGAGAGGATAGCCCATCTGCAACAGATTCAACAACTACACCAGTTTCAGCTTCAGCAGCAACAGGTTGGATATCCTGCATATGGAGTCGTTCCTCACGGACAGCCACAGGGACACATGGTGCCAAGCCCTGGTGACCCAGTTCCAGCTCCAGGCTGCCCCATGCCAGTACATGGCGGCATGATGGTGCCGATAGGTGGGCTGGGGCCACCTGCAGTGCATGTGCCTGCTCCATGGCCAGCACAATGGGAAAACCAAGCACAAATTAGACAGGGCAATGTCTGCCAGCAACCCAGTCGAGAGTATGATGACCTGCACAAGGCAGCTTTCCAAGAGAATGGGCCCCGAGGCCGGGATGTTTACTTCCACCCTGGTTCAGAGGATGGTTACCTAAATGTGAGGATATCTGAATGGAAAGGCGGACATTGTTTTTACCAGGGCCCTGAGGATTACAGCCACCAGGACTACAGCAGAGTGCCACAAGAAAAAGCCAATAAGGAATTAAGAACTCAAGAAGGGTTTGGTAAATTGGACGAGGACAGAAGAAGAAGGGACGACTGGGACAGAGAAAATGACCGTTATGACCACAGGAATCCTAGAGACTTGGAGGAGTATGATCGTAAGGACAAATACAGCCACAGGGATCATTATGACAGGAAATATGAGCGCTGTGACGATAGAGATCAGCAATATTATGACAACAGGAAACACCGTAATCATGACTCCAGAGAACCAGACAGATACAACAGTGAGTATGAAGACTCCTATGATCGTAAAGACACCTATGCTCGCAGAGACAATTACAGGGACAGTGATCACTACGATGACCATGATAGGGATTATTATGATTCTAAAGAGAGTGATCGCTATAGAGATAAGGAATATTACCAGCGTAGAGAGGAGGACCGCTACTATGATGAGCGAAAACGTAAGGACCGTTATTATGACCAGCACGCAGAGGATCGATATGATCGCACAGAAAGTGACTACAAAGACAGAGATGACTATAATCGAAGGGGTGAGGGAACTTACACTAGTAAAAGAAGGGGCCAGTATGACTCTGAGCTGGACGAGCACAGTGGTTACAGGGAGAGTTACAAGGATCCAGGTGATGACAGGAAAGATGAGCCCAGAAGGAGAGACCCCTACAGAGCACAGGGGCACTATGAGCGGAGGGCTGTGGACAACTACGACCATGAGAATGAAGACCGCTACAATTCCAGGGAAGGCGATCGTTCCCACTACAAGGCCAGAGACAGATTTCGGGATTTGCGTTCAACATCCGTAGATTCGCGATGCGAGGAATACCCTAAAAAAGATACCAAAACACACTGTGAGCAATGGGTTGAGCAGCAGAACCAGAAGTTGGCGCTCAGGGAAATGCACTCTTTTGAGGATCCCGTTATATACCAGCACAGTGACGATCAGGAAAGGGGATACGAGTCGAGCGCTGGGAGCATTGGTTCAAAACGGGGTCGCAAGCCTGTTTACATGGGCTCGCTAGATCGTAACAGCTTCTACAGGAAGACAGCCCCGAGCTCCTTGCAAAAGTCCCATTTTGCCACTACCAGGAAACAAAACAAAGGTAAACACAAGGATACTGTCATGTGAGAGCATATACTCCACATGCTGTATTTGCACAACATGAGTTACGTATGTAATGCGCAGGTACAACTCCACTTCACTTAACAGATCTTGACAAAAAAGAGGGAACATGGTTTGCAAAGCTTCTTTTCATTCCCAATCCCTTGAGATAAAACAGGGTGGAGAGGTCGATAGTCATTGGTGTCTCACTTCTTATCATTGGTGACCTCCAGAGGTGCTCTTCTAATCAATGCTGGGGGCTTCAAAGTGCTGACTAGCCAGACTTACTTCCTTAGAATGTGTGTGTGTGTGTGTGTGTGTGTGTGTGTGTGTGTGTGTGTGTGTGACAGTATCACCTATCTCACAGGAAGTTGAACTGTCAGGAATTTGTAGGCGTAAGGACCAACAGGACAGGTTTTGTGGGTTCTTGTGTTCTTTAGTCTCTCTCATTTGCTGCCATAGTCTTCCTCACTGATGCTATGTGCACCCATAACAAGTCCCTTCAGTTGATGGCTGTTTTCAGGCAGAGATACACTTAAAACTATATCTTTATAAAGCAGTTCAATGATGAGTGAAGTTGCCCTGTTTTAGAGATAATTTCAAGTATGTTTTGTATACAAACAATATATTTATTTACTATAAACACCTAAACCTAAATATCCACCTTGTTATGAAGTTCTGCGGACTTGATTTGTCATTTTAACCAAACTGATTGTGATTAATGTATTGAAAATAGAAATACAAACTTAACCAACCTTAAAGTTTACGGCTGGGTGTTGTTTGAAATCTTTCACGATTGTGGTCAATACAATATCTGAGCTTCAGTTCAGATAGCAAAACATTTTGACAGTTCTAGGGGAAGTTTAGAGAAAGTTTTAAACTGTGCCTTGCATCAGTGAAATATAGTCCAAAGTAAGAAAAGTTTCCTGACTTAGATGAGGAAATATCTGCCATTTGATGCTTACTTACATATTTCAGTTGGTCTGCACTCAAAGTGTTGATGTTAAATACTCAGCCCCAGGGCAATGATGTTATCACCTTTAACACTGAGAAAAGGTTCAACGGTGCAGTTATCTGTCAACATGAAAACAAACTAATACTACATCTAAAAGTAGGTGTGCTTGTGTGTGTTTGAGTGTGTTTCATGAGGAATCGAAGAAAGAGAGAGCACTCTTCTGACTCACTTCATTGTGTCTGAGAAGAAGCAGGTGGCGCCTCATGACCCATCCCCCAGTTACCTAGAAACACACACATGCACGGCCACACACACAGACACACACACACACAGTAAACATTGGCCCCCACCACACATCCACTTCGTGAGTCCAAGTATTAATCCCTAGCGTCAGCATGGTGTGTGGATGGCGGGGGTCTGTCTGGTGCCAGGCGGTGGCCAGCACTGGCCTGACTCCTTCACTGCAAGACTAGACTGAATCTCTCTGTGTGTGTGTGTATGTGTGTGTGTGTGTGCGCGAGGTCCTACAGAGGCTTATTTGAGAGATGACGCCATTTTTAAACACACATGCACCGTGCTTGCCTTCTGCAGTGTCTTGTCATCCTTTAATCTTGTTAAACTGTTTCAGCTCCGTCAGGGGTTTGGTCGAGTAAAGCATTTGATAGCACGGCTAAAAACATTAGGCCATCTTGTTGCAGCGCTTATTGGGCTTACGCCGTGATTCAGTGACATTGAGGTGATGGCCGAGGCTTTTTGACCGTGTTTAAGGGCATTTGTTCTCAGTAACCACGTTTTAGATATATGAGACCTCTCCCTGGGTCAGAAAAATCCATAGAGCTTAGTACATTGCAGCTACAGACTACTGTTTCTGCTGACATGCATGTACCATTACAGTTTGGGTCTAGTTATAATTATGTTATGAACTTTGTTGTGTGCATGTGCTGCTGTCACAGGCTTACATTTTGTAGGTTTAACCAAAGAAGGCAACATAATTGGCAAAATGTTTTTTTTTCTTTCAGGAATAAATAGCATAACAGTCTAACCTATTTATTGTTTGAAACTAAATACCTATGGTCACACTCTTGAACTTTAAAAGAAAATAGTCTTCCGCTGTATGGCCAGTGTTTGAGCATCTGCGTGAATAATGTGTCGTCATCCAGCTATGATCTGGCAGCGTATGCTCTGTAATCCTGGAGCAGTCGGTGCTATTGGTGGGCAGCGGTACGAGGGTGGGGCGGGGGAGTTGGGAGTTAAAACGAGATCTCAAATCGTCTGACAACATTGCTCTAAAGACGTCTTATCTCACTGCTGGCAAGCAAAAAAAAAAAAACATTTAGCTCATTAGTCCAAAAGTCTGCATGAGTCAGTGGTGGTCACACTCACATGCTGAGCATGCATTTCTTTGTGGTTCATCCTTATTGCTTTTCTTTTAAATGATTTCTAATAATCATGAAGATTGTTAAAATTTTCCAACTGCAGTGCAACTTTTCTAACATGTCTATGGATCATGTTTCAAAACAATCCTTGTGTAATAATAGTGGAAGAATCTGAGAAATGCTTGTTAATATGAGTTTTTTTATACTCCATATTAGCTGTTGTCTAAGTTATTGATATGGTCACACATACTGCAGCACCTCATGCCTCCAGGTTAGAGGATGCTACTGGTACCTGCATGAGTAAGAAGACTGATTTCATCCGTACTTTGTCTGATAGAAGTGTGGGAAAAGACAACTGATCTTTGACCTGGTGGACTTTCTCTTCAGGATTCCCCTAGATTTACATTACAGTATCAGTTTATGTATATGATTTTAAATTGTGAATAATATAGTTATTAAATCTAGTTTCATTTTAAGAGCAGGTGTAAGCCTGATAGTTAGCTGTTAGTGTCTGTCAGTTCAGTGTATTGAACATTAGAGCTGTATAGAGCAACTAAACAGAAAGTTATAGTGAACCATATAGCCTTTATGCATTTGTTAGTGTTTACATTCAGTAGCTTACCTTTTTTGATGATATTAATAATACATAAAATGTGTGGTTGTATTTTAAGGAATAAAAAGAAAGGATACCTTTTAGGTAAATCAATGCACAGAACAGTTTTAGGCAAATTCTCTTGTTTACTTGTGGGGACACTCATAAAGCCCTCAGGCAGATCTTTGTCTTTACTTGTCATACAATGAGCAACAGATATAATGCTGCAAGTTCAGTCGTCTCAAAGCCTCAAGAAAGTTCTCACACTCGGGTTGTACTGAAGCTACACAGACGGTAAAGGTAAAAGACTCTGAGTCATCACACTGTATGCAAAATGGCCATATTAAAATAGAGAAAATGTCATACAATGTACAGCTTCTCCTTTGCATTTGGAACCATTTAAAAATATTTAATTCTTTGTATATGTTGTATCATCAAAGCACCTGTGGGGCCCAATAGACCCAATAGACTCATTGTCTTCTCCTTCTCCATTAACTTGAAGACGGTACAGCTTTGTCTTTGAATAGGTCCCTCTCTTAATGCCTCTCTATGCACATATGCAAAACTGATGGTCTCTTGAAGTAATTGGACATTGTTCGTCATAGAAGTGAGACGAAATGAGAAATTCCAAGGAAGCCAGAGATCCCGCTCCTGGTCCCATTTGCCATGCAGCATTGTAGCAACGTATTTATTCAACTTGTTAATTAGACTGTAGTCTTATCCACCTGCAGATGAGAAGAGTTGTCTCTCTAAACACAGGATTGATTGAGAAAATCACATGTGGAATGTTACATGTGTCAGCACACAACCTGCTTTTTTAATGACTGTAATTACAAGAAATTCCTAACAAGGCTCCATAAAGGTTGCTGAGAGATTCTGCCAGGAGCAGGAATGTGACCTTTTGACATTTGACCCTAAAAAGAGATAAACAGGATTGTATGTCACTGAATGAACTCCCCTTTTTAAAGTTTTAAGGGACCTTCTACCTGATGGCAGAAATGTGGACAAAATGGGGGGGATATAGCAAAATAAACATGCGCTCAGTCAATTGGCTGATTCAAAAATGAAGATTTTGTTCCTGCAGAGAAAATAAATAAGTGCTGCCTCTTTCTCTAAAACACAAAGTCAACCTGTGCAACAGTTTGATGCCCTTTAAGAGTCTTGCTAATATTTACTCTGCCTGTGCTGACATATTTTTTCTTATACCGGTTACCAGTGTCACAGATTATCATTTTAATACATAACGTATTAATTACAAGTCATGGCTTGCATGTTGTTCGGTAAAAGAAAGAGTCTTTAGGAGCGTGTATCAACTTATTCTCATGTCCCAACTGAACACACTCACGCAGAGTTTCCCATGTGATCAATTCAGCGAAGCCACTCCTTGCTCTCCAAAACTTGGCTCGATATGAGGAGGCCCCCCCCCCCCCCCGCTATTTAGGTTGCGATGGCAACTGTGCATTCTGCTGTGAACTTTGGAGCAGAGCGCACGCACACAGCACTGATTGTGTGTCTGACCTCAGAGCGCTCCGTGCAGGCCAAAACTTTTGACTTTACACAGATATTAGTGGAGCACGCTGAGTGCAGACCATGCATTCAGAGAAGTATTGTTTGAAAACTGGATTTGCTACGGTCGGACAACAAAATCACAGTTCAAGAGAGAGACATTTAAAGAGGTTTACTTGGATTATGTATATTAAAGAGTTAAAAATATGCTTACGTGCAAGATAACTTCCCCTTAAAATTAAGGGGAAGATGTTGAATCTAGGCATTGTCATTTTTGATAGAATTGAGGTCGTCAGAGGAGGAGCCCGGTCAGGTGTCAGTGAACTGTGAAACATGAAACAGATTAATCAAAGAACTGGACTTAATCCATGCTACTCAGTAAACCCCCCTAACAAATGTTACAATAGCCAAATGTGAGTTCTTGAGGCGTAAAAGCTCAGAAATTAAGCTTTATGCTGTATTATGTAATAGCAGCATTAAAACCTGACCAGATAAACAAGGCATCATACTCTGAATTTCACCACCAAACATTAATATCTGAAATATAACATTCAATTAGATGCCTTTTAACAAATGGATTAATTAAGCTCAGTATTGACTCTCATGTGACACCTGACGGTGCGTAAACAGGTGAAGGACAGACAACCAACATGTGAAGTCAGGATATAAAGTTAACCACAGTAAAGATGTTTGTCATGTCAGACATAAACTTTAAAAGAGGCGAGGATAGAGGCTAGCGTGACAGGTACATTGTCCCAATGCCACACTACATACTAGCCAACACCGTGTACTATGTCCATTAGTATGTAGTATTGGGATGCAACACGTTGAAGCAGGACACCTGTTTTCTCATCTCATTCGAAGCAACAAGCAGCGATGGTCCAGCTCCAGGTTTTATTCTCTGCCAGAGTGGTCGTCCTCCGTGGTGTCTGTGTGTGTGTCTGTGTGTGTGTTTAATGATGGTGGGTTCCCATCCATTCTCATGGTAATTGGAGGTCTGGAATGGAGTTTCTGCAGCGGGACACACAGTCCTCTACAAGGCTCAGGAGCTGGACTTCAGATTGACAATGGACTATCGTAGAATGGTGTCGTTGTTTGAACCACCATATGTGTGTGTCGGGGTGTGTGCTTGTTTTTGAAGGGGTTTGAAGAAAGTTCCGAGCAGCAGGTGCGTGAAACCTCACGTCTTCTCTTTTCTCCCTCTTGCTCTCTTTTTGTCTGTGTACGAGGCAGCGAATTACAGTGCATTGGAGAGAGCAAACATTACAAGGAATATTCTCCCTAAAATTCATTGTTTCTTTTGTGAATCCAAATGAATATTATGAACATCATCGCGTGCATTAAAGTGGGTGAAGCTGGAGAAAGTGGTAAAAGTTAAGTAAAACTTAACACTTTGGTTTCGGTCAAACGAACGAAAAACGCAGGATATCATATAAATTAGACGATGCATATTAACCATAAGTCATAGTCCGAGTATGTGATAGCAAACACTCCAGTCACAATCTCGCTAATCTTTGGTCAACCTTAAGCAATGCAGTCTGACTGGGCTGTTCTTTGTTTGTGCCACCAGATATGCACCATTGCCTTTTGTTAAATCCTTGATGACCTGTGCTGATGTGTCAGTTGTGACTATAACTGCGGTCATACTGAGTGTTGGAAGATAGAAGGTGTGGCGCACTGATTTATAGCGCTATTAAGCACACTCCCTGTCTCAGAAATCCAGGCTGCGGTGTATTTTTAACTATAAGCTTAGTGTTGTGGAACATAAAGGGGTGGTGATGGCAATCAAGTGGTTTTAACTTCAACATTTTTAAAATTGTCCGAGCATCAGAGCGTCATCGACAGCGTTAATGGATTTAATAATCAGTTCTCATCCCCTGTATGACCCATACCCCCCCCAATATACCAAGACATTACACAGGCAGTCTCTTTGTTTTATTATTCCAAACTCTCTAACATGTGTAACCAGGTCAGCGCTCATTCATTAACCCTCGTGCTGCCCACTCATTAACCCTCGTGCTGCCCACTTTCTGTGCAGACACCTCCTAGCCTCCTGCAGAGTACGCACCCAGATCTAATCAAACTGTTTTCTTCCCCATGAAGAGTTTAAACATCTCTTTTGTTTAACCTGTCAAATGTTTTTTTTGTTAGGACTGAAAATGCAATACATTGCTTTTTGGATATTTACTTAGCAGTTGCCTTCATATCTGATACAGTAGACATGTTAATGGTTGTCGTGTTGCAGGTAAAAAAACAAGATGCAGACGGCCAAAATGCCAAACTTGAGGCTTCAATACGGCAATCCACACACCAACGGGTGTCTAAGACTAAGTCTTTGTAGATACAGTCTATGGTTGTACCTGATTGGGAGGATAACAGGTCTTTATTCTGAATAGAAATTCCTTGAATGCTTTGTTTTCCTAATTAGAAAACTGTGTGAATTTGCTGGCTTGATACAATACTGCGGTTATCAGCAGCATGTTGTCGTTTGCACTGATTGATTAATCTCAGATTGTTGGCATCCAGTCACAGGTGGGTGATTCATGAGATGCTAATGCTTCATTAGAAGTGATTGTTATGTGGGTGTTTCCTGTTACTGCAGACTGAGTGACACGGGCAGATCCAGTTCCACAGGCTGACAGTTTTATGTTCCACCTCATGTTACGGGCACCTGCGATTGCGCGATTGGCTCATTAATGTAATGTATTTCTTTCAAAACCAGTAATTGGATGAAGAATATTTTTGAATAAAATCTCAATCACCAAAAATCGCAGTTTGCAGTAGTTACAACAGATTTGAAATGAATGAGGTTTATTATAGTTCAAGCCTTTTGGTGTGTGTGTGTGTGTGTGTGTGTGTGTGTGTGTGTGTGTGTGTGTG